CATCACTTGAGTTTCAGACGACCGAAACTAAAGAGGCAAATGAATCAGCAGAGCCGATTCTCACAGAATGTTTTAGAACAAAGGAGGAAGGAGTTTCAGTCGACCGAAACAAAGGGAGTTTTTCATCGGTCTACCGAACCAAGCCTAGCGATCAACCTCAAACCAATTCGGTCGACCGAACCTCAAGAGTGATTTATTTCGGATGACCGAACCTTCGAAAATTCAAATTTCAAACGGCCATTTTTCCTCGAAGTGTGTGTCCAACAGCTAGAATACATATCAGAGACATCTGAAAGTCTATATAATGACTTGTGATCTTCATAAAAGGTCATTGCATTCCTTGAGAAAGATATTCTTGCAATCATAGAACCTTTTTATCATCATACACATACTCCATATCTACAAAGAGTATTGAGCTTCAATTTATTCATACATACTCTAGAGTGAGCTGAATCTTGTCCTTTAGATCTAAGAGAGATCATCTTGTACTTCAACAATCTTATTCAAATCTTGTAAGGGCTGGTGTGGCCCAAGGAAGACTAAGAGAAGGTGTTTCTCTTAGCACTTAGAAGCAAGGAAAAGCTTCTTGTGGATCACCTTTTTGCTGGATGTCATTTTGCAAGGGATATTTTGGCCTGATTTGGAGATCTTTTACATTGGAATATGCCTACTTTTTCTTCTGTTCAGCATATTGCTAGTTGGTTTCTAACAGCTTTTGGTTCTAAGTGCACCAGGCACAGATTGCACAGAAGACTATTTTCTACAGCTTTATGGCACATTTGGAGGAAGAGAAATTTTAGATTCCACCAACATGTTGGCAGACTTTCAGTAGTAGTTGCCAGACTGATTTGGTGGGACGTTATGGACACTTCCAGTATCATTACTGAAGCACTGTTATAATTGCTTTGATGTTGTTGCTTCTTAGTTTGTTTTGTTGGCTTTAATAACCTCATTTTGCTTTTGTTTTTGGACTTTGTCCTTGTATTGCTAAGGTATGCCTTTGCTTCTGGCCATGTACATCATTGTTTCATATATTATTTTCCTCTTTACCTATGGAAAAAAAGCAACTCCTTTACCAAGACAAACTACAAAAAACCCAACAACAACAGTCCACAAAAGGAACAACTACAGCATATCAAGCAAACTCAAAAAGACCAGCAAACCCAGTCAACAAATGAAACAAAATTGCAGTGCAAAACAAGCATATTAGTCATAGGACTAAACAATCCAGAGAGACCATTTAATAACAGAACCCACTCCATCAGAAAAGACAGCAACGCTGAGCAAGAAATTTTATTTAACTGAATTTCACTGCTTCTGCAATATCCCACTGACTAACAACCTATATATTCTGATGCTTCGGCTTCACAGTCAATATGTAAGCAACTTGGTTCTCACACCAAAGACAATGTCATGTTGAATGACAGTGCTAGACCTGGACTTGTGAAGGAATATTCTATTATTCCTTTCCTTCCAATATTATATACAGAAGCTGCAAAACAAAGTTTCCCAATTCTTTCTGCAAACCTTTCCCATTCCATTTTCTCGCCAACCCAGTTATAGTTTTAGGCCACGAGGAGGATTGAGCAGTAAAACCACATTTTGTCATGATGTAGCTCCAATTGTTGCTACTGATGCACTTTTAATTTCCCTAATTTAAGGAACTTCTTTGGACTACTTATCTCATATCAGGGCTTCTTTCTTGATCTTATTTCATGAAGATATGATTTTATTAGAACTTTGCTTACGGACAAATATATAAACTCAATTTTGGACCAGTGATGGAGAAATATCTCAAAAGAATATTAAAGAGGTTCAAAGCAAAGTCGTGTACAAATCAACTTGGCAATCTTCAGATAGATTCTGGACCGCAAAACCAATCCTAATATCCGAAATGAGATTTGTAAAGTGTATCTGCAAAAATAGTCCTTGCCAATCTAAAAGCCATACTTCTCCATGCAATAAATTTGGAGAAGGGTCACGATGGTTCAACCCTACTTAGTTTAGTGAATATTATAATTAATCAAAACATAGCATAGGAAGAGTGTTGCAGTTTGCACATGATGCCATCTTTCCAGACCAAATATTGGAGATCAAGCGGGTGGTGACTCCTTTGTAGACAAATGGTTTCAAATTAGAAGAAAGAAATATTTCAAAATCCCCAATAGTGCTTACAACCAAATTTGAACCAAAAATGATACATCTTCTTACAATTTTCTTCAAGCAATCAGCCCAAGCTCAAGTTGGATGAACTCTCTTGAATGCATTAATGGATAGAATTTGATTTCTTTTACTACAAGGGCCCGCATTTCACAAAATCTATGACTTTTAGGATTCAAGCAACCAAGGAACTTTATTGAGCATATTTTTCTTATATTATAATGAAGATATTAGAATCATTGTGTGAAATAAAGTTCCTGAAAATCTCAAATCAACAACATCTGAGTTTTCAAAAACAGACAGGCTATGTTTGGTTGCGCCGAATTAGGATTGGATTGCGATTGCATTAGGATTGCAATTTCATGGTATTGCAATCCCACCAATACAATTCCTAATCTTTTGTTTGGGTAAACTTTGGAATTAAAGTGCCATTGAATTTCAATACTAGTTTTATTGTTTGGATAAATTATGATTTGGAATTGAATTAAAAATAATTAATTAGTGTAAATAAATATGTATGTGTAGATAAAATTATATATATATACAATTATACATACACTTACATAGACATACACACTTATATCAAATTAACAAATATACATATATAAATAAAAGTATTTGTATATACCTATAACAATTAGTTTTCATATGAATGTCTATAATGAGAGAGAAAAAAAAATCCAAAAAAATCCAGCAATTACAAAAGATATGTACAAAAGGTCTTGGACCAAACAAAGCCGAAAAATAAATGGACCAAAGTCACCAAACAAGCTGAGCAAGGCCAGAACCAAAGAACAAACCCTGAAGTCTAATTGTTGACACACCAAGCAAATAGCCATTGGTAACAGTTTATCAATGGCTATTCGTAGACAATCCGGAACCGATGGCGGTCAGTGCACAAAGGAAGAGAAAGGGCAAGAGAAAAACTCAGGTTAATGACCAGATCAAGGCCGCTGTCAGCATAGCTGCCATCGGAGGCACATATTCCGTTGCCGTCTTGAGCTTCGTATGTACGCCGAAGGACTGTCAAGATGGAGAGAGAGAAACCAGAGAGAGACGTTTCAATCGTGGACCTATCCTATGTTTATTTGGTATTTCAAATCTCAGCTCAAATTATGGGATTCAAACTGTGTAATTGGGATATTTAGAATTGTAATTCAATCCCAATTTTGTCTTAGTTGGTAGCAACCAAACAATGGATTTGGGATTGGAGCTCCCAATTCCAATTCCAAGGCTCCATCACGGTGCTGCCAAACATACCCACATTGTAAATGTCATTGCAGTTGAAACCACCAATGATATTACTGGAGAAATTGGCGGCTTTTGATTGTTGAATCATGTGGCATATTAACAAAGGAGCAAAAGGTTGTATTGTGTAATTTGTGTTATGTTGGAGAAGAATGAATATGTAAATGTAATTGAGCAATTTGTTAGGCATCAAACATGTTAGCAATACTATCACTCTCACTTAAGATGATGATTGATGAATTATCTTCTAGACATGGACTGAATATTTTTAGATTGTGTAGGCAAGATTATATGGGGCCACTAATACATAAGACGAGTTCAATGAACTTAAAGTGCTTATTACAAAAGGAGTCAGAATGGTCTTTCCCTCGTGTTCGGCTATAGCTAGAGCCCCTGAATCTAGAGCCGCTTGGCGTTCCAACCCAGTTCCAACAGTGCACTTCTCAAAGAAAGCGAAACTGCTTGACAGCAATCAACAATGGCGAGCTTTCAAGTGAGGAAGGCTTAAATCATAATCCTACTCTTAAATGTTCTCATTTGTAATTGGTGTACTTTAGTCGCAAATGATATGTCAAATTCTGAACAAAGATATTAACCAAATAATTTATTGAAGTAAATGCAATCATTTAATTTCATATTTAGTAAACATCTATCGAAAACTGTATTTGAGAATGACATATGAATTGTCCAAGGCAATACAAAACAACGATAAAAATATTGTAAATGTCATGTCCTTGGTTAAAGTATGGAAGCAACAACAACAAATAAAGAGCAAGCATAGGTGGATTCTATACTCGATGAAGTTTCCTATTTTTGTGAGAAACATAATATTAAATCATTGATGCTCCTGAAAGATATGTTTCTAACTCGATGATGACCACGACGTAAAGCTCAACAAGTCACAAATTTGCATCACTATCATGTTGTTACTTTATACTATCATGGATATAGAACTTCAAGGACTAAATAGTTGTTTTCGCCAAGGAAAAGGAGTTGCTTCTTTGTGTGGCATGTCTATCTCCTGATGATTCATTCTCATCTTTCACAAGCAAAAACAAATATCCCTTGCTTATTATCAACAACAACAAAAATCTGCATTCAGGCTTATGGTATTTGGTGATCAACTTGAGACTTGCAACATTATTGATATATGCCCAAGCAGTGAGTTCTCAATATTGAAAAGGGAACAGCAATCTTGTACAAAAATGTAGTTGAAACAAAAAAGTTAAAATAAAAAGAGGTATATCCATTAGTTTTTTGCTGGCAACCTTGGCATTTATCCTACTTATTGTGGTCGTCACTGTCAAAAGGGAATTTTCTGCTATAAATATTGTGAAGAAATCCAATGTAGGATTTGGTAGAAGATTGAAAAGGACATATTTAGCGTTGTTGATAATGAGGTGATTATGCAATGCTTCCAAAACGTTGCCTCTGTAAAGTAAACACTCATGGCTCCATCACTGTCTACATAACGCCATCTTTCATGAATGGACAAGCTTTTCTTATTAAACATAAATTCTAGTGTTAGAGGCCATAATTTTATAAGAAACAAAAACATAAAATAAATAAATAAAAAGGTTAGAAGAACATACTTCCATCAGGCTTGTTAATAAACATCCTAGCCTTAGCAGCAGCCACTTCGGCTATACCTGCATGCAACTGAAAGACCATTTCATCAGGCAAAAAAGCAATAACTTCCCAAAATCCCCGGTGGAGGAAGGGGGTGTATCGGAGAAAGAGAGATGAAAGAGTTAAGTTCTAAAGATACCGCTGAAGTATTCTCATCACAGCCAGTAGATTCCTCCTGTAAAAGCTCTCCGAAGTAGAATCGGCCCTACATATTGAACATAGAAGTCATCGTTCTATAACATTTATTAAATAAATTAAACAGTGAGATAAGATTTGTGTTTTTTGATCCAAACATTACATAATTAAAGTTGTAACCATACTTGGATGTTCTCAACCTAAAATTAGTGAGATGTCTTATATTTTCACACCACCTATTGTTCAAATATCATGTAGGGTACTCCAATTTTTTTTTAACTTTCTTCTGGATGGCACTAGTAGAAAACATGTATCTTTACATCTATAGAAAACTAAGAGCAATATATATTTTTTAGTTTTAAACATTATGTCATTTCCAAGTTTGACCTTTCTATATGATTCATGTGGAAAGTGGGCCTACAAACTTTTGTGAAGAGAGATGTTTAGACAAGTAATGATGCATCTTTCATGTGCTTACATATATTGTACGTTCATTGACTTCATATACGCCACACCCATGCATTCTACTATGCTTCCATTGACCAGCGTAGCGGTAGCGACCTTTCTCCCTGGAATCAAGTGAATATTATGAAAAAAAATCCTTACAGAATAATTTTTTAGCAAAGAAGTTCATATGCTTGTGTCCACAATAACAAAGAAGACAAAATTTTCATGATCTGGAAATTAAAGTGAAAAACAAAACCAAACAAAACCTTATTCTTGATACTGTTTCTGTTGCTCTGAAGTTTGAGTCATGACTGCCACAGTGCCACTCCAACTTCAGAAAATTAAAAATTTGCATTTAATAAGTGACTAACTTGTTAGAGGAGTTATTTTATTACTAAGGGCACTATTGTACTTTCCATGCTTTAGTTAGTTTAGGGCATATTTTATTCTTTTGTACTGTATTATTATATATTAGTTTTACACAGCAATACAGAATATGACTTCTTCTCTCTATTATTCTGTGCAAAATTCACGAAACTGAAAGGTGGTAAAAGTGGAGCAGAACCTACAAACTCTATACATACTATTAACCAATTGAAGTCATGCTTGAGCCTAAAAATGCCAACTGCAGAGTGTGTGTTGTCAGAGAATATTAAGCCGGAAAGAAATTAGAAACACTAAATTTCCAATAAGATACAAATTATGCGACCAAGTTTGCCTGAATATATATTAACTTGATTTCCGTACTTCTAGAATATTTTATATTTTTCCCTGAATCATTTATTATTATGCCATCACCTTATCTAAGAAAAGCACCAACTTCATCGTCAATTTTCTTGTGGAAAAACATTCAGGGAACTGATAATATGATAAGTTGACTCCCAACTGTAGTGATCAAAACATGCCAAGAGGATTGTAATACATATTGACTCAGCACTTGTCTTCCTACATATCATAAATAGTATCACAGCATTACCATTGCAAGCTTAGTTAATAGCTATATATTCCAAAAAAAATCTTTTTCTCAATAAGTAAACCCAATTCCATTGAATTTGTTGTGGGAAGATATTTAAAATATAAAAACTACTTGCAATTCCATATCAACAAATGTAACTGGAAATGTTAGAAGGAAAAAGGTACATTAATTTTAAAATGAGATACAAAGGGCTGAAAATCCATCAAATCAATATATGAAAAACTTCTCAAACAGCGTGAGCATCACAATTTAATATAAAAGCTTCAAAAACTACGTTTACAGTTAACATGGGATTGCAAACGTCACAGAGAGACAACAGAGCCGAACCATAATTTAATGAAGGCATCAAATTTAAAATTAAATAGGATATCAAATAGAATAGAAGTGACTATTTTGAAAAGACACAAAAAGAGAAATGAGCTATGGAAACTAAAACTCACGGTTTCCTCCCAAATTGTTTAATCCATTCGTTGCTTTCATAAAAAGGAATCTCATACGTTCCCCCCGCTAAACGAATACTATCTTCAATATCCATCTCCAACCATTCTCTGTCTTGTGGGGACATGAAATCTCTTGATATTATTTTCCCTTCAGCGCGCATTTTTTCTTCAAGCCTGGCAAAATGAATAAGGGAAACTCAATAAGAATCATTTTGTCAACAACTGCTCCGACTCTAATCAATGAGGTATGGCATGACTACATTATTGTGGAGATGGGGATCGTAAACATACTTCGAACCTGGAACAGGTTCTATATCGGGTATATCAACTTCAACAACACCATGACCTTCCATGTTATTTTGCAGCCATTCACCTTCATACCTATAAGCAGTAATTGTCATGTAAGAAATCTTTACATGATAAAAACTGACATCTTTCTCAAAAGAATAAATGCATTCATTGCGAACTAGCAGTAACTTACAAGATCATATACTATTCTATCTGAGAAAAATATATAAAGAAAAGAGTCGTAACTATATACAACAGTTCAGTAAGTCATGGATGCGAAAACTAAGAATACACAAACCTGACCAGCCCTTGTTCAGCTACATAAACTCCTTTTCCATGAGCCAAGTCATCCCAAACAGTACCTTCATACCTTGAATGAAAAGAAGAGATCAGTGATGGAAGGAGTTATAGGGAGAAAATGCTTTATATGCGAATTTCAAAGTACAAACTGCGTTCACACCCTCTGTGATTCAGCAATCCTACCAGTTTCATATTCCTAATTCGATCTTTGACAACAAAAAATTGCTTTCTCATTTGTTCCTATGATTTAAAAGCAACACAATTTGAAAAAATATCAACAACCCTTGATAAAACTAAAATAAAAAGATTGATATTTATCAAAATTCCTACTTATTCAATCAAAATTGCACAACAGTCAGAGTGGTAACAGAGACAACAATGTAGTATAAGAATGTGATGTAGAACATGAAGTGAATAAAAAAATATGGGAATACTTGACACTTACGAGCTCCCATCAGGGAAAATGTAGCTGACCCACTTCAAGAACTCCTCAATCCTATCCAGTTCTTCAATAACAGATTTTGGATTGGATATATCATAGTGATCATCGGGTATGGCCGGATAAGACTTCCGATACGGCAAGTAAAAGGGTGCAATTGGAGGGTCTCTACCGGCCTCAATCTCCTCCCTCAACACATCCACCTCATCTTCGTCAACCCAATTCGGGTCCCAACCGGGTTTGGTCATCTTAACCGGAGCATCGGCCCAAAGCTCCTTCAAATCCTCCTCTCTCCAGTTCTCTGGATCTCTCGGAAAATCAAACAAGTCCTCATGGTACACCGTCTCTTTGTCTTCCTCTTCTTGCTCTTTCCTCATTCGCTTGCTTCTGAGAACTCTCATGAAACGCTTCACGTTCGATTCGACCGAGTCGTCGTCCTCGGGGATGTCGTCGTTGTCAGCTTCGCCAAGCCTGGTGTAGACTTCGCGGTCTGACTCGGATGAATCATCGGAGTCGTAGTCTGAGTCTGAGTCCGAGTCATCTGAAGCTGGTGAGGCTTTTTCTGCAAAAGGGTCTTCTGGGTTTGACTCATTTTGTAATTCAATTTGTGGGTTTGCTTTTTCGTCCGCCATTTTCAGTTGCTCGCAGAGTTTGAGAGAGTTGAAGAAGATTAGCTGAGTTTCCCAGAGAGAGAGTGTCGAGAAGAAGATAAGGTGTTTAAATACACAGATACCTTACGCAGCTCTTGTCAAAGTTAACGCGCTATTTCATGCCTGGAAAATGTAAATAGGGTTTGAAAATAAATATAAATAAAAATAAAAATAAAAATAAAAATAAACCCCCTCTGGAATCATTTGCAATTGACACCAATTCAAAATACTTCTTGTCCTACTCCGAATTGACTTCTCTTCTTGCATTCATATAGCCGTAGCCTACACCAACTTGTAGAGAGAATACTACACCAAGTTAGTTGGCCTATTTTTTGGGTTTGCAGTCCTATTACCGGAAGAAGAAAACTCTTTATATCTTAGAAGGTAGACGTCAGCCAACTGTAGCTAGATGAATCTACCTTTAAAAATATAGAACTAAATTCTATCCTCCACTTATTTGCAGATTGTTTGATTTTTTGTTTAGTTTTATTTTATTATATATAACTATATTTTATAATAAAAAATTTATATATATATATATATATTATTGTTTTATAATAATAATTATATAAATATACATTATATTTTTGCATAATATTTAAATAGTAATATATGATATATTTAGACCATATATCTTAAACAACAACCTTAATACAGATTCTACTTTTACTATAGTATTAATTATTTAAATATTATTATTATTATTATATTGCAATATTATTGTTGTTATTATATTGTTGTAAATTGATTTGTGATCTGTATATTTCATATATAAGAGACGAATGACAAGTACAATTACTACTATGCCTAATATTCCCGCAAGTCATGGGGAGACGCCCGAAAAATTTAATGGGTAGGAGTTTAAAAGGCGGCAGTAAAAAATAATGTTCTACCTTACAACTCTGAATTTAATCAAGTTCCTAACTGAGACTACCCTAGTGCTACAAGAGGGAGAGACTGATATTACAAAGTTAGGAGCTGTTGATGCATGGAAGTATGAGATTTCCTATGCAAGAACTACATCCTCAATGGATTGGACAACACTTTATATAATATACAGTCCAAAAAATACTGCTAAAGAGTTATGAGAGTCACTAGACAAGAAGTATAAAACAGAGGATTCCGGTTTGAAGAAGTTCGTGGTCAGACGCTTTCTAGACTTCAAAATGATAGACTCCAAGGTTGTCATGAGCCAAGTGCAGGAGCTCCAACTGATCCTATATGAGATACATACTGAGAATATGACTTTAAGTGAATCTTTTCAAGTGGCTTCAATCATTGAAAAATTACCGCCTACTTGGAAAGATTTCAAAAATTACTTGAAGCATAAACGCAAGAAAATAGGGCTCGATGACCTGATTATCAGGCTAAGGATTAAAGAAGATAACCGCACATCTGAAAAGAAAGTTGGGAATTCTTTATTGGTGTCAAAGGCAAATGTAGGGAAAGTTGTACAGGAAAATAAGAAGAGGAAGCACTCTGGAGAAGGTCCCAGCCAATGAAGCTACAAGAGGTTCAACGGGAAGTGCTACATATGCAGCAAGTTAGGACACTAAGCTAAAGACTGTCGTAGCCGCAAAACACAACATGACTCCAAGAAAAAGACCACTGAGGTGCACATTGCTGAGGAAGATAAATTGACAGCTGATGTGTCAGAGCTAAATCTTTCAGTTATGGTTTCTAAAATCAACCTGGTGAGCAACAATAGAGAATGGTGGGTGGACACAGGGGCTACTCGTCATGTTTACTCATAAAATAGGATGTTCACTACCTATGAAGCTATAGATAATGGAGAACAACTCTACGTGTGGAACTCTTCTACTGCCAAGGTTGAAGGACAAGGAAAGATTAAGCTACTAATGACCTCGGGGAAAGAGCTCACTCTAAATAATGTGCTGTATGTACCAGACATCTCAGGAAGAACTTAGTCTCCGGATTACTCTTAAGCAAGAATGGGTTCAAACTGGTCTTTGTTTCTAATAAGTTTGTACTTACTAAGAATGGGGTGTATGTGGGTAAAGGGTACCTAAGTGATGGATTATTCAAATTCAATGAAATTACTGTTGTACCCAAAGTTATTAATAATAATAAAGTTAATGTTTCTGCTTATATGATTGAGTCATCTGATGTGTGGCATGGTAGGTTAGGACATGTTAAGTATGATATGATTCACAGATTAATTAACATAGATTCTATACCTAAAATTAGTATTGGTTTAAATTAAAAGTGTCAAAATTGTATAGAAGCAAAACTAACTAGAACCTCATTTCACTCCATAGAGCGACGTACTGAACCTCTAGCATTAATTCACAGTGATATCTGTGACTTTAAATCTATGTTAACCAGATGTGGGAAAAAATATTTTATTACTCTTATTGATGATTGCACAAGATACTGTTATGTATACTTGCTAAGAAACAGAGATAAAGCCTTGGAAATGTTTAAACATTACAAGAATAAAGTTGATAATCAACTTGACAAAAAGATAAAGGTATTTAGAAGTGATAGAGGTGGTGAATACAAAACACCATTCGTTGACATTTGTTCAGAACATGGTATTATTCACCAAACTACTACTCCTTATTCACCTCAACAGAATGGTGTTATTGAACGCAAAAACCGTTGTAATGACCCGGATTTTCACGGATATTTTTTTTCCGTTGTTGTTCCTTTTTGAGTTCAGTTCCTCTTCACTTAGTGTCGTCTCGAGTGCTCTGGAGTGATTTCTGAGACTCTTTTCTGTGGATTGACAACTTCCTTTGAGGACCGAGTCGTTTCCATATTTTTCATTTTTTGATACTATTCACTTTTCGTCTTTTTCCCTATTTCGTCCTTTTCCCTATTTTGTCTTTTCCCCATTTGACACTTTGTTGGCGTAACCACACTTCTTGTGTTCGAAGTTGGTTTTTGACTTCATGTATCTCCATCTTGAGTGGTTTCCACGAAATACGTATCTTTACTTTTGCAAGAAAGTACTCTGGTTGCTCCCGGTGTCCATAGGGGCATGGATGAAAAGTTTTTTGAAATTATTTTCTTTTCTTGGGGTGTTTTTCATAAATATCTTTTGAAGATATTTTATTTCAGGGGTTTTTAAGAAAATATTTTCATTCTGGGCATTAGTGCATTTTCACTTTTTGGAGGGGCCATTGTGCAATTAATAAAAGTTATTGCTAAATGCCTTATTTTGAGCCTGGATCCTCGTACGGGATTCATTTTCACTTTTCGTCGAGTCGTGTACTCTTAGAAATTCATTCTGGTCATTGTTTTCCAGTTTCAGAGTTTTTCGCCCCAGTTAGTGTCAAACTTGTTTGGGGCATAACTTTCTGCTCGGGACTCGATTTTTGACGCCATTTCTTCCGTTATTTATATTTTCTCATTTTGAATCTTTTTTGTTCACAGAGTTTTGTCATTTGAGCGCGTCTGCTCAAATTTCACTTTTTCGGACCCGACGAGGCCCGTTCGGGGCACTTTTTGAGATTTCTATAAAAGGGGGGTGAGATATTTTATTTTTTCATCTTCCCCACTCTCTTGCACGACCTGAAGCTTCCATGGCAGCCCAAGGGAGGCCGCCACCTTCTCTTTCCTCTTTTGAGCTTCATTCCTTCGTCAGAACATAGAAGGGCCTTTGCGTTTAGTGTTCGTGTTGACTACGCGCTTCTTTCACCCTTATTAGAACCCATTTCTGACCATTCTTTGAGTTTGGGTTTGAAGTCAAGTTGTGATTTTGATGGGGCTTCCTTGGGGGTTATGTGCACGGTGTAGTCCCCGACAAAACCTAGAAGTTTCGTCAGATTCGGAGCGGTTTTCCATTTGGTGGCTTTTAAGATTTTCATCTCAAATTGAGGTAGGGGATGTTCTAGGCTTTTGTGTGTGTTGTATTGAGTGTTTAGCATGATTATACAACTTAATTGCATGCCTTGTATTAACTCGAAAAAATTAGTATTAATTATTTATTTGTATGAAATTTAATTCACAAGGATGTCTATAACTTAGAATGGAATTGTGGCATGCTAGAAAATCATGTTTTAATATGTTTGTTAACATATATTAAATTGAGATTAATTGAATAAGAATTGCACTTTTTATTTCATATTTATCTTTGGTGAAAGATTAAATCCCATGGCCATACTTTTCATGAAATGAACTTGTAGTATGCTTTTAAATTAAGTCTTAGCATGTTTGTTAACATACTTTAATTTGAGAGTATTTGGACAAGTATGAAAATCTAGAGATTTTAAATTAAATGATTAATTAAAATCTATTTAATTGTTCCCTTGGCCCAATTAAGTTTTTTACTTGATAATCATGATGACTAGGACTTGTGTACTAGTATATATTAAATTGGGACCATTTGAAATTGCTTTGAAATTTAGAAGTTTAATTATCATAATATAATTAAATTCTACCTTGTTGTGCCATTGGCCTAATTGAGATTTTAGTGAATGTATGTATATACTATGCTATATTGTATAATATGCATTGATTAGGGGCCATTTGATTGAGATTTGAAAGTTAGGGAATTTAATTAGTTTATTTGATTAAATTCCGTTTCTATTGCTTTAATGATTAAATCCTGAAATTGGCATTGATAGTATGTTTGAAGCATGATTTTAGACTTGTAATAGATTTATAAATTATGTTTTCAATATTAGATTATATTGTTATAGCGTGTAGGGAATCGCACACTGAAGATTCGACATGTGATGTTATTATAGCACGTAACGAATCGCGCTCTGAAGATTCGACATTGTCATCCTATAGTTGTTGTGGATTTAGAGCATGTGTTGTGTGGTTACAACCTACTTGTGCATGAAGGTAGTTCGTGTACTGTTTAATACGTATATAAATTGTTAACTTATTTATTTTGGAGTTGCTTAGGACATTGTTAAGTTGTGATGGCTAGGGTTTGGCTCTAGTACGGGGACAAGAGTCCTCTAAGTCAAAAGTTCGCGCGTTGGGTAGGCTGCCTGGGGGTTAATAGCTCCAAATTTGCCCTGTCTCGGCGGAAATCCGAGCTGTGATGTCCAAGTCTTCCACTATTTGATTTCGCATTCAATTCCAAGTTGACAACCAATGTTTAATTGTGACTTGTGGTTTTGGTAATTGGCGATTTGATGTTGCTAAGTACATCCATACTAAATTGATATATTTAGTTGATTTCACACTTTTAGATTGCTAGTTGATAACCTAGAGAATTTATGTCTTAATGTGTGGTATTAGATATTCTAATTATGCTAAATTGTTATATTTAGTTGATGTTGCATTTTAGACTTCAAGTTGATAACCTTGAGAACCACTAT